TTCGATATCTTATGTTTCACAGATTCAAATTTAAATATATATATATATATCCGATCCGATTATAATTTAATCCAAATTATTTATGTATTTTTATATAAATATTGAAGAAATAAAGTGATTATTTAAAAAAATTAGTTAAAATTTAAGTATAATTTGTTAAAATTTAGTTTATTGCGTTATTCGGATCAGATTAAATTTTGAATTGTTAACGAATTTAGATATAAATCAAAAAATAAAATTATCGAATTATCGGATCAAATTTTAAAAATCAAGAATGAATTCAAATTTGTCATATGATTCAAACTCAATTCGTTGACAGTTATATTTACGATAAGAGATTCAAACTCAATTCGTTGACAGTTATATTTACGATAAGAGAATTGGTCAAATAATCTGACAGCCATAAGAAAAATAGCAAATCAAGTAAGAGGGACCCACAAGCATTGAACCGACCAATAGGAGAGCTCCATTGTACCAATTAAAGGACATGTGCCATGTAACTGAGTATGCAAGTTAAATAGCCAGTTGGTGCAGATGAAATGGTCCTAAACACAGTGACATATGCCTTAATCCCAGTTAAGTGAAGAAAGCAACATCTGCCTGATCTTACTTGCAAATGTCCACTATTAGCATCGTCCCACAAGAGTTTGTCCAAGTAAATGATGCTCTCTTTCAACAAAGCTCACACAAGAGTCCCCAAAAAAAAAACACTAGTTCTTTTTCGTATTGTTCTGCTGAGGAAATACACACACACACACACACACACACATATATATATATATATTTATTAGTCATAACCCGTGCTTGAAGGCACGATGAAACATAAAATTCAAACGCTCAAAATACATAATTTGACAAAATTTCTCAACATATGTATACTATAATGTATGGATAATATGTGAAACAAAAATTATATTAAATTATAAATTAATCAAATATTGAAATAATTAGACATGTGATAAAAATTAATGATGTGATATTTTTGGGGGAAAAATGTGTAAGAAATAAAATTCAATTTGTGAGCTATTTTATTATATTATATAATAAAATACAATACAATTCAAATTTCAAAAGATAAACAAAATACTTTTATTTTTTGCGATTCATATCGTTTTAAATTTTATTTTAAAGTTAATCTGACGAGTAAGATTAAATTTTCAAATTTAATAGGGATAATAGGCTCTCTAAATATGTGTTTGTTGTGATTTTTCAAAAATACTTCTAATAAACACTTAAAAAAAATAGTGTTTAGAATGACCCCACCACCTCCACTCCCACTGCCCCACCACTACCGTCATCATTGCCCCACCACCACCACCACTGTTACCGCCATCCTACCACCACCTTCACTGCCGTCACCACTGTCGCCCCACAACCACTTCCCCACCATTATCATCGCCACACCACCACCACTGTTGCCGTCACCCCTACCACCACCGCCTCCGCCCAACTCCTACCACAATCACCACTACTGTCACCGTCATCACTCCACCACCACCTCTGTCATAACCACCATAACTGTCGTCGTCGTCGCCACCGCTAACAGCACCCCCACCACTATCATCGTTGTCCCCCCACCACCATTTCTACCACCATCACCGCCACCGCCACCACCCATCGCTCACCATCATTATTGTCACCCACCACCAATTGCGACCACCGTCGCCCACAGCCACCACCATCATCATCTCATTCTTATATTTATCACTACTACCACCATTATCCCACCATCACCACCACCACCATAACCCACTACCACCCACCACCATCACTCATTGCCACCACTCATTGCCACCCACTTCCATAACTCACCACCACCCGTTGCATACTGCCACCCATCATCGTCGTAGCTCCACCACCGTCACTACCCCACCACCACCACCACTACCAACCACCATCATCGTTGCCCAGCTCCATCACTATTGCCACCCACGATTGCCACCACCATCACAGTCGTCGCCACTCACCACCACCATCACCATCTTTCACCACCACCACTCTCGTCTACCACCACTACCACCACTCACCCTCACTAAAATCGGTGCTTAAATTCTTTTCTTTATCCTCTATTTTTGTAATTTAATTTTGAATGTAAATACAAATATATTTATTGTTGACAATTTTTATTACTCTGTGCCTTTAGACACAGAAAATAACTAGCATATAAAATAAAGTACAATACAATTCAAATTTTAAAAATAAATAAAATAACTTTTAGTTTTCTTAGTTAAGATCTCTTTAAATTTTACTTTAAAATTAATCCAATGACTAATATTAACACCATAAATTTAATAAATAAAATAAACCCTTCAGGGTATATGTTGGAGTGACTTTTTAAAAGTTTTTTTATTTTTTTAAAAAAAACTTATAACTTCTCATAAATATTTTTTTTTTTAAAAAGTAGTGTTTAAATTGCCCCACCACCATCACCATTATCGTCATCGCCTCCACCACTGCCACCACTACCCCCCACTGCCCCCACCACCATCGTCGCCACCCCACCACCACCTCTGCCAAAAAACACCACCACCCCACCACAATCGCCGCCACCATTATTGTCACCACCCTACCACCACCACGTTGCCGCCACCCTACCATTACCGTCATTATCCCACCATCACCTCTACCATCACCAATAACACCATCAGCGCCATCCCTGCCCCCCACTGCCACCCCCCATCACCCCCACATACTACACCCAATGTCACCCCCACCACCATCGCCACCCACCACGGATTGCTACCACCATCGTTCACCTCCACCACCATTACCATCGTCATTTTATTCTTATATTTATTATCACTACCACCATCCTACTACTACCATTAACACCAATCACCACCATTGTTGCCAACCACTACCTACCGCCACCCATTACCACAACCCACCACCACTGGTTGTCACCCACCACCGTCGTCAACCATTGTCATCCACCCCACCACACTTATCACAACCAACCGTCACTACCTGTCATCGCCCACCATTGTCGCCACCCACTATCACCCAACCCCACCACACTTACCACCATCACCACCGTCATTCGCCACCACCAATCATATTGTTGTCCATGAACACACGTCGTCGCCCACCACTACCATCGTCACAGTCCACCACCAACCACACTCATCCACCAACCACCACCATCACACATGGTTGCCACTACCACTATCACCGTTGTCACCCACGGTTACCACTATTACCACAATTGTCACCACGTACCATAACCATCACCCACAGCCGCCCCACCACCACTACGACCATTCACCCCTACTATAATCAGTGCTTAAATTTTTTTTTTCTCTCCTCTATGTTTTTAATTTAATTTTAGTTATAAATACAAATATATTTATTATTGACTATTTTTTTATTACTTCATGCCTTCAGGCACGGGTAATAATTAGTACATATATATATATATATATATAGAGAGAGAGAGAAAGAGAGAGCCTTTTGTTTACCTCCGTTAAAATGTGCTCCTCACGTGACTATATGACACAAAAAGATAAATTTCTCAATTGACACAATTAGAGAGTTTAGCGCCTCAATTAATACAATTAGAGAGTTCATGCACTCAATTGACACAAAAATAATTCCTAAACTTAATTGACATAAGAATTATAGTTTAAAGGTCATATGTATAGATTACTCCAACTATTTGTGTCATGTGAGTGACACACTTTGCCACTTTTCTAACAGAAACAAACAGAAGAGCTCAATTGACACACAAAAAAAAAGTTCAGGAGTCTAATTGACACAATGGTTATAGTTTGAGGACCATATGTATAATTTTACTATATATATACATATAGACACACATCCAGACATATGAGAGAGAGAGAGAGAGAGAGAGAGAGCATCTTTTTTCATTTGTACATTGAAGTATTAAAAATGGAATTAAGTCACTTTCATATGCCAAAATTATTTGTGTGTGCATTGTTAGAACAAGTTTAAAAAAAAAATCAGATTTAACAAAGTTGATCACCCACCTTTAATTCTTCAAAGTCCTCACAACTAGAAGGTCAAATATCAATTCTTGTAAAGCAATAATTGGTTTCTCATGTCTCATTCTTTACTAGTCTTTTTCTTCATCTTTTTTTAGTCCTACTAATCTTATAAAATTCGGGTCCAACCAATGCACATATTTGGTGAATAATTACATGTATCCGATATTTATATTATATTCATCACTTTAAAGTTTTCTATTATTAGAAAATTAGTTCAAAGTTTTCTATTATTAAAAAAAAGAGTAATGTTGTTGCAATCTAAAAACTTGACCTAATTTACTCATCTAAAGATGTGACAATAACATGATCCAATCATGTTGTTATAACTATAATTGTTAGACTTCTTCATTGAGACTCTATTACTTGATATATCATCATGTTAACAAATTATGTTAACAAATTATGTCAGTTTTTGCATGGTCAAATAACAAATGTTATTAAGATCTAAAAAACTGACTAAATAATTGACAGTGATGTGGTTCAATAACGTTGATGTGACTGTAACTTTTGGACTTCTTCATTGGAATTTCATTACCCATCATTATATCAACAAATTAGATCAGTTTTTCAGGTCCAATAACATTACTCTTAAAAAAACCACAAATGGCTCTTTCTACATAACTTTACACACCAATGAAAAAGACTTGCAGAAACACCACCAATAACAACTTCGGGTTTCTGGTGTCATACAACTATATCTTAGTAGTCATACAGTTTGGACGCCGAATAGAATAAGTCTATCCTTGTTTCTAACACCACCAATTGGCAATAGCTTGTTATAGCCGGCCACATTGCCCCATATATTTACAACCACCTTACCTTCTTCCCCACTTTCTCTAACTTCTTCGTGGGTTTTGGTTTTCCTTCAGAACCCATCAAGAAAAAAGCACGAGGAATCAAAACAATCACTGAAATTATAGTAGGAAACCTCAACAACTCATCTGAAACACAGAAAAAAGAGAGAAGAGAGTACAAGAAAACTAGCCTGCAATAAAGATGGACAGGCTGATAAGCTTAGAGCCATCGAACGTCGTAGCAATCAGGATTGAACCTGGACAGAAGTGCTCGGGCGAGCTTACTTTGCGTAATGTAATGTACACCATGCCGGTGGCTTTCCGGCTTCAACCGGTGAACAAGACTCGTTACACCGTTCGACCACAATCTGGGATCATATCTCCTCTTATGACCCTCACTGTCGAGATTACTTATAATCTTCTTCCCAATTCGAATCTCCCCGAATCATTCCCTTACTCTGATGACTCATTCCTCCTACACAGTGTTGTGGTTCCAGGTGCAGCAGTTAAAGATCCTTCATCGACGTTTGATTCTGTCCCTATTGACTGGTTTACTACAAAGAAGAAGCAAGTATTCATTGATAGTGGCATCAAAATCATGTTTGTGGGCTCTCCGGTGTTGGCTCAACTCGTTGCCAGTGGATCCATGGAAGAAATCAGAGAAGTGCTCGAGAAGAGTGACCCGGCGTGGAAGCCA